TTGCCAGATGAAAGTTCTAATCAAAAGTCATACATAATAGTGTTTACAGATTTACTTAGAACTCTACTTGCGGATGTTCAAGAAAGGCTTATATATCGATGCCACATTCACATGCGAAGTCAAATCTTAGGATATGTTCCTTCCCTGGGCGATCTTTCTTATCCTGAGAAGTTAGAACTAATGAATGTAAGATCTCGTTATGTACTTAAATAAAAAAACACTTAAATGCATTTAGTAACTTGATTCTTTGAATTTAGAGTATTGCTTCAGAACTACCCAGCAAGGTAGCTCAGCCTTGTCATTCTCTCCCGGACTCCATTTTAACTTCGTCTGATCATACTTCTTCTGATATTAATGTTCCGCTGAATTCAAAAATGCTTTTATCTCCAGCTGATATGCATGGAATGTGGTATCCTACAGTTCGAAGAACTCTGGTTTGTCTCTCAAAATTGAGTCGATGTTTGGATGTAAGCAAGTTTGCTTAAAACGAAATGAATTTCCTTTGCTTACTTTTCTCATGCATATTTGCTTTATTCATTCAGGTTGATTCATTCCGAGGTTTAGCACATGATTGTCTGGCACTGTGCATCCAGTCTCTTGTTCAGGCTGCTTCTCAAATTGAAGCCAATCGAAATCCTATAGATGGGCAGCTGTTTCTTATAAAACATCTCCTTATCCTTAGAGAGCAAATGGTTCCATTTAATGTGGAGTTCTCTGTAAACGAGACAAGTCTGGACATAAACAAGTTGAAATGTAAGTATGGTAGTATTTATGTGTTTAGCCTGAACTTAATGGCTATCCATTCTTCTTATACTCTCAAGTTATTACAATATAAATGTGGCTTCAGCCTTATTGTTACTTGATATCATAAATTTTTTTCTTTTATGGTATCTCTTTTTACCTCGTTTTTAGAGGAACCACAATTAATTACCTTCATACGAAGTGCATCATTACTCATTACTTTAATAGTTAATTCGATTGTCTGTCATTTAGCTTAGATATGTAACTCCTTAATTGGCAGTGATTTTTATACCATTAATACAGTTATTTATATCAAAAAATTATTATTACAATGATTTAGATGGCTATATAATCTTTCCTGAAGTAAGAAAGTGTGATACCTTATTTAAATCAGGTATTTTCTTTATTTATTTCTGGTCAAAATTAACTACCTTCGTCTATAAACACTTTCTG